CAGATCATCCAAAGTCTGAAATGCATGGAAACTTGCCAAAAAAAAGAAACAGCTGCCAGATCCACCGGTAAGTTTTTAGAAGTTAAAAGGCCAATTTCTCATGTTTCCATGCGAGTCTGATCTGAAGAATGAGACTGGAGTAATAAAACACCACAGACTCCAACCTCTTAAAAAATGTGTTTTAATTGAACAGCTGTACAAAACACAGTCTCTTCCTCTCTCCAGCTGTTTTCACAGCCGCCCGCCGTCCCATCATGCAGTGTGTAAACAAATGGACCGTCTGAGTGTAAACGTCACATAAAACGACCTGATCATCGGCCCCCGAGCACCAGAGAGGAAATACAGAGCCCATAAAGATGATATAGTTTTGATATTTACAATAAACAAGAAGAAAATCTCCGTTTGGCATTTTAAAAATCAGATTAAAATATCATTGTAAGTAATATTTCGCCTAAATCAGATAATATCCATCCCAGAATGCAACCCTCCCCTCACACACATAATGTGTATAAATGTATCCCAGCAGCCCAAGAGCTGAAGGACAACTAGTAAAATCATATTTATTGATCTACCGATCAGCTAAACTGTCAAGTTGGATTCAGATTCATGTTTTCAAGTGGTTTTAGTAGGGATGCACCAATACAGACTTTATAAATGATTATTTGTGTTTAAATAGTTTCATTCCATCAATTAGTCATTATATATCAGCATTTTGTAATTAAAACCAAAATGTTATAACGGTTAACCACTAATAAAGACAAACAAAATTGTTTTATTAACAATTATCAATATACTTGTTGATATTATACATATTTAATATTTTACCTGCTTTAAAAAAAAAAGTTTCACATTAGAAATGCAATCTAGAATTTTTCATGCAAAAAATTAATGCATCAAAAAATATAAATGTGCAGTAGAAAATATGCGGAACTATAGAAGCTTGTTTCCGACATAGAGATAAAGAAATTAAAAAGAAATAAAATATTTCTTAGAATTGCGAGATATAAACTCAGAATTGTGCTATAAACTCGCAATTGTGAGAAAAAAGTCAGATAAAAAGTCCCAGTTGCCTTTTAAATATTTTTTATTCCGTAAAGAATTGCGAAATATAAACTCAGAATTCCAAAAAGAAAAAAAACTCAGAAGCGCAACTGAATGTTTATAACTTGCAGGTGAGAAATATGAACTCACAATTGTGAGGAAACAAAGTAAAAATTTAGCTAAAATTTCACAATTACCTTTTTAATATTTTTATTCCATGGAAACAAAAAAATAAATTAAAAAAACAGAATTGCATTATATAAACTCAGAATTTTGAGGGAAAAGTCCGAATTGTGAAAAGTAAACTCAGAATTCTGATAAAATAAGTCAGCATTGCAAAAATTAAAGTCAGAATTGCGATAAAAAAAGTCAGAATTGCAAAAGTAAATTCAGAATTTTGATTAAAAAAAAACTCAGAATTGTGAAAATTAAACTCCGAATTGCGATAAAAAAGTCAGGATTGTGTAAAGTAAACTCATAATTGCGATAAAAAAAGTCAGAGTTGTGAAAAGTAAACTCAGAATTGCGATAAAAAAGTCAGAATTGCGAAAAGTAAACTCAGAATTGCGAAAAGTAAACTCAGAATTGCGATAAAAAAGTCAGAATTGCGAAAAGTAAACTCAATTGCGATAAAAGTCAGAATTGCGAAAAGTAAACTCAGAATTGCGATAAAAAAGTCAGAATTGCAAAAGTATGTTTGATATGTACAGTATATGTTAAATGTATGATTTATTTTATCCCTTTCTGTTAAAATTGCTCTATATTTATTGTGAATCTTGTAAATTAAACTAATTAAAAATAAAAGTAAAAAAATAATTGCAAAAGTAAACTCAGAATTGCGATAAAAGTCAGAATTGTAAACTCACAACTGCGAGAAAAAAGTTGCGGTTACCTTTCAAATGTTTTATCCTGTGACGAAAACAAGCTTCCACACGGAACTCTTCAGTACTTTCGAAAGACTTTGAGAAAAGTGAATCCCTGATATTATCTTGTGTCTATTATCAGCCTCATCGGACTGACACAATGACGACGGACACTGATAGTGGCAGATGCGATATGAATATATCGAGTGCATCCCTACTGTATTGACTGTCTCCACCCGAGCCATAAGGAACACAAATCATTCCCTCCTCGGTTCTCAGTGTCTCTCAGTCTCACGGAACCTCAGAAATTCTCGTCCCGCTCGACACACGAGCCGTCTCTGGCGTCGGGACAGCGGCAGGTGAATCCGCCCGGCCGCGGCAGACAGAGATGAGAGCAGCCTCCGTTATCACGAGAGCAGTAGTTCTCGCCTGCGGACCAGTCATGGGATTAACATGAGTTCAGGAATTACAGTCGTTTATGATGAGAGTAGCCTGAGCTCAGACCTGCAGGGCATTGTGGGTAAGTGATAGCGATGCCGTATGTACGTGAACGTCTCTGAGGAAGAAACTCCTCCACCTCCATCCCATCATGACGGTCCATAGCAACCACTGCTTCCCTAGCAACAAAACAAAAACACCGCATCACCACAATGTTCAAAACAATACATATAATTTATGCAAACACTTCAACAATATAAACCCATAATGGATGGATTAACCCAATTCTCTTTCATGAGCAATGTCAACTAACCAGCCTATGAAGTAATAAAACGTGAAATTGAAATAAATCATTTAAAAATAGAAACGATCAAAATAAGACATTAAAAAGAAATAATAAAATCAAAATAAGACATTTTTATAAAAAATATTAAATTAAAAGAAATAATAAAAACAAAAACAATCAACTAAATAACAACTAAAACAATCAATAACAACTAATTCATACAAATGCAAAATTAAAAATAATAATAATAAAAAAATAAAAATAAGACACTAAAAATTAATTAATATTAAAATCAAAAATTAAAATAAATAATTTAAAAATAAAAACAATGATAATAAAACACTTACTAAAATTAATTAATCAAAAAAATCTAAAATTAAAATAAATAATTTTAAAATAAAAACAATGATAATAAAACACTTACTAAAATTAATTAATCAAAAAAATCTAAAATTAAAATAAATTATTTTTAATAATAAAACACTTACTAAAATTAATTAATCAAAAAAATAAAAAATTAAAATAAATAATTTAAAAATAAAAACAATGATAATAAAACACTTACTAAAATTAATTAATCAAAAAAATCTAAAATTAAAATAAATTATTTTTAATAATAAAACACTAAAATTAATTAATCAAAAAAATTAAAAATTAAAATAAATAATTTAAAAATAAAAACAATGATAATAAAACACTTACTAAAATTAATTAATAAAAAAAATTAAAAGAATCAAAATAAAACACGTGCTAAAAATTAACCTATATCATATGTAAAATCAAAATAAATCAATCATAAAAATAAAAACAATTAAGTAACAAACTGTAAAAAATGTACAATTAAAAAATCATTTAAAAATAAAAACCAATCAAAATGAAACACTTACTAAATATTAATTTAATCATAAAAATGTAAAATTCAAATAAATCCCTAACTAACTCACTAACAAACACTTTTATTTGTAAAAGCTTGTAAAGTCTATTATCCAACAGAATATTCTTCCTTAAGAAATCCAGATTTTCCAGTTAGAAAAACTGTTTATCGTAGTAATATTTTCATGTTTTTTTTTCTAATTAAAATACCATTTATTGCAATAAAACTCCTTTATGAACATCCATATTTAACTACACATTGTCATATAAGCTTCCAATCAGTGAGCTAAATGTTAATTCAGAAACCATTCAGTGATTCTGATTCAATCTGATTCTTTTGAATCGATTCATTAAAAGGACTGGTTCATGAGAGTCATTTGTTTGTGAATCGTACCTCCTCCAGTCGGTGTAGTAGAGGTTTCTGCCGTAAGACACGATGGAGAAGGGATACTGAATCCCTTCGGTCAGTTTCCTCCTGAGACGAGAGACCGGATCGACACACTCCACCTGACCGGTTCCTGAAGCAAACATTACTAGGATTCAACACATGCTTCTGGCCTGATAGTGAATGATTCATATTATAAATAATTCATAAATAAATCACTTAAAATTAGAACACTTACTAAAATGAATTAAATCTTAAAAATGTAATATTAAAACATAAATAATTTAAAAATAAAACACTTACTAAAAACTAATAAAATCATAAAAATGTACAATTAAAATAAATAAATAAATGTTAAAAATAAAATTAGACATTTATTAAAATTTGTATAAAAAATTAGAATAGTTTAAAAAATAAATCACTTACTAAAAATAATTAAATCATAAAAATGTAAATCTTCAATCTAAATAAAACACTAAATTGAATTAAATTTATAAATATAAAATTAAAATAAATACGTAAATATAAAAATAGATTAATTAATTAATTAAATAATAAAAATGTACGATTAAAATATTAAATAAATAAATAAAAACAAAGTAAAACACTTACTAAATATTAATAATACCATAAAAAGGGTAACATTTAAACAAACAAATCATATAAAAATAAATTAAAATTAAAATTATTAAAATCATAAAAATACACGATTAAAAAGATTAAATAAATAAAAACAATCAAAATAAAACACAAAAATTAATTACATTTATAAATATAAAATTAAAATAAATACATCAATATAAAAATTAATAAAAATAAAACACAAAAAATTAATTAAATAATAAAAATGCACAATTAAAATATTAAATAAATAATTTAAAAATCAAAATAAAACACTTGCTAAATATGAATTAAATCTTAAAAATGTAATATTAAAACGTAAATAATTTAAAAATAAAAACAATCAAAATAGAACACTTACTAAAAACTAATAAAATTATAATTTACAATTAAAATAAATAAATAAGTAATAAAAATAAAATTGGACATTTATTAAAAATTAAATTAAAAATGTGGAATTAAAATAAATAGTTTAAAAAATAATCAAAATAAATCACTTACTAAAAATAATTAAATTATAAAAATGTACATTTAAAATGAATGAATCATTTTTAAAAAAACTATCTAAATAAAACACTAAATTGAATTAAATTTATAAATATAAAATTTAAATAAATACGTAAATATAAAAATAGATAAAAAATAAAACACAAAAAATTTATTAAATAATAAAAATATACGATTAAAATATTAAATAAATAAATAAAAACAATCAAAATAAAACACTTACTAAAAATTAATAAAATCATAAAAATATACGATTAAAAATATTAAATAAACAAATAAAAACAATCAAAATAAAACACTAAAATTAATTACATTTCTAAATATAAAATTGAAATATTAAATAAATAATTAAAAAATAAAAACAATCAAAATAAAACACTAAAATTAATTACATTTCTAAATATAAAATTGAAATATTAAATAAATAATTAAAAAATAAAAACAATCAAAATAAAACACTAAAATTAATTACATTTCTAAATATAAAATTGAAATATTAAATAAATAATTAAAAAATAAAAACAATCAAAATAAAACACTAGCTAAATATGAATAAATCCATAAAAAGGATAACATTTAAATAAACAAATCATATCAAAATAAAAAATATAAAAATAAATAATACATTCAAAGTAAAATGCTTCTATGCACTTCTTCTCTAGTGCTGTTATTATAAAGAAAGAGAATATCTTCATAATCTTTCAACAATAATAATTGATTCATGATGCATGTTGCTGACCTGCGTCCGCCCAGCAGAGCCGCCTGCTCTGGGGGTCAAAGGTCAAAGCGTTAGGCAGCCCCAGCCCGTCCCGCACCAGCACCGTCCTGTCGCTGCCGTCCAAACCGGAGCGCTCGATCTTGGGCCCGTCACGGTTCCAGTCGGACCAGAACAGGTCTCTGGAGAACAGAGAGACGTGTGTCATACATGAGTGTGTGTTCTTCATAACGGCGTGACGAAACACACACGTACCCGAAGGCGGGGTCAGCGATGATTGGTCGTGGGTTGGTGAGGTCATCGTCAAAGAGGACACGCCTCTGACTTCCGTCCAATCGGGACACCTCGATGCGGTCCAGTACGGAGTCGGTCCAGTACATGTTTCTGGACATGTGATCGATGGCGATTCCCTCAGGACTGCCCAGATCTGCTCACGGAAACAACATACAGTGCGTTTCCATGACGAGAGTCTGATACAATTTAAAAAACAAAACCAATGTTGCGAGGAAGTTTCCAGTGGACACAAACAGCACTTAGAAACGGAAGTAACATTCAGAAGTGTGTGAAATAAAACATCAAAGCGAGTGGCATTCATGCAATATTTTTCATTTATCACAGGGTCTTCCGAACTGGGCTTCAAGAACGAGATGGAAATTAATTACAATTCATTAAATCATAAAAATGTCAAATTGAAATAAATTTTAAAAAATAAAATGAAAAAATGTTTAAATGAAAAAAAAAAAATCTATCAAAACACTTACTAAAAATTTATAAAATTAAATAAAATAAATATTATTAAAATAAAAACAATCAAAATAAGACACTAATGAACAATGAATTAAACCATAAATAAATACATACATTTATTAAAACAATCAAAATAAAACACTACAACATAATTATATTATAAAATGTTATATTGTAATAAAAAAAACTAATTTAAAAATAAAACTTTTGTTAAAATTATAAAACTGTAAAACGACAATAAATCATTTTAAAATAAAACATTAATTAAATCACAGAAATGCAAAAATAGTTTGCAAAACAATCAAAATAAAACACTAAAAATGATTTAATTATAAAAATGTATAATTGAAATAGATGAATTACAGTAATAAATCATTTAAAAACATAAAACGTAATTATATCATAAAAATGTAAAATGAAAATAAATATATATAATAAAACAATAAAAAAATATTAAATATTTTATATGCATTGTCAAATGAGCATAAACCGACATCAGAGAACCATGAATGTGCAAACGTGCTGTTAGATTATTGAAATAATAATTTAATCTCAGTAAATATGAAATTTCAGTAAATAACTAAACATCTAACGTAAATATTTTAGGTCAAAGGGGTTGAGCTGTGTGTGTGTGTGTGTGTGTGTGAGAGAGAGAGTGTGTGTTGTGTGTGTGTGTGTGTTACAGATGTGTGAGTGTGTGAGTCACTACAAAAAATAAAAATGAATATTAAAACCTATGATTTTTTTTCTGAAGTTTCACAAGTTGCATATTTTATAAACAGTATTGTAACTATTTAAAAAAAAAAATTAACACATTAAAAAAAAAAAAGCATGGAAAAGCACATAATCTTTGTGCTTTCCTGAAGCTCAGACTGCAAATGCATGGCGCTCGCAACGGCAAAATTATGGGTAAACTGTACGCCATCAGTGCAGTGTACGTTACTACTGATAAAGCATCCGCCAAATGCATGAATGCAAACACTGTTAGAGGGTTTGACAGAACATGTTTTCCATGCAGCTGAAATATCCAGGTCAAACTGACCCACAAACATCATAGTTGTAATATAAATACTATTGCATGACACATCGAAACTTTGCATGCATGCTCATGACTCTAAGCCACAAAATATCCAAATAAGAATCATAGGTTAATCAGTGTTTCCAAAGGAGCCGCTCTCTGCTCTTACACATGGGTCTGCTGCTCGGTTGGGCTCTGGATCCGGGAAGCTCCTGTCCGGACGAGTCGACGCACCAGCACTGAGCCACGCTGGCGTGACACTGCAGGGGTTCGTAAGCACCGTAAGCGTCACAGCTGGGCACGTACTGACCGACGGCCGGACGCGGACGGAAGAAGAATCCACCCGAGGAAGAGGACGAGGCCTGGGCTGCTTCTCTGTGACGCTCACACGCCGTCTGCTCACGATCTGCAGCAGACAGACAGACGATGAAAAATCAATCATTCTATTGCTCTTTTGCAATAAAGAGTGACATATATATGACCCTGGAGCACAAAAGCAGTCTTAAGTAGCACAGGTATATTTGTAGCAATAGCCAACAATACATTGTATTTTTCTTTTATGCCAAAAAAAGATCATGTTCCATGAAGATATTTTGTAAAGGTCCTACTGTAAATATATCAAAACTTAATGTTTGATTAGTAATATGCATTGCTAAGAATTTCATTTGGACAACTTTAAAGATGATTTTGCACCCTCAGATTCCAGATTTTCAAATAGTTGTATCTCAGCCAAATATTGTCCGATCCTAACAAACCACACATCAATGGAAAGCGTATTTATTCAGCTTCAGATGATGCATACATCTCAATTTTGAAAAATTTACCCTTAAGATTGGTTTTGTGCTCCAGGGTCACAAATTGTGACTTCAAGACCTCATTTATTCAATCTACACAGAGATGAAGGAGATGATCATTCTGTCTTGCACAGTTAAAGATGGATGACACACACACACATACTTGCATTTGTGGTTTACGTGGACTCTCCATAGGTGTAATGGTTTTTATACTGTACAAACCGTATATTCTATTGCCCTTTACCAATTCTACCCCTAAACCTACCCCTCACAGGAAACTTTCTGCATTTTTACTTTCTCAAAAAAACTCACTCTGTATGATTTATAAGCCTTTTGAAAAATGGGGACATGGGGTAATGTCCTCATTAGTCACCTTCTCTTTGTAATACCTATGTCATTATACAAATTTGTGTCCTCATATGTCACAAATAAACGTACACACACACACTCACTCTCACACACACACACACACACACATTTTCGCATTTGGCTCCCAAACTCTGGAATAGCCTTCCTGATACCGTTCGGGGTTCAGACACACTCTCTCTGTTTAAATCTAGATTAAAGACACATCTCTTTGGCCAAGCATTCAAATAATGCATCTCATAATCTTTTACTGCAGTCATAATCTTTTACTGCAGTTATATCTAATCAAATGCACATTATTATTCGTTAGTTTGGGTTAAACAAATAATTTTTGCTTGGTTGGAACAGCAGCTACGCTAATTATGTTTGTATTTGTTTCTCTGTCTTTTGCCACGGGATTAACATCCCGTGGTAACTAGGATTTACACAAGCTTCAGTCTGGATCCAGAACACCTGAGAAGAGAAGATGCAACCCCTCAGAGGACCTCAGATGATGCCAACCCTGAAACAACATACAGAACTACCACATTTTGCTATAAGGTTGATTGCATCATATAATAATTGCTGTTAATATTATTCATCGTCTGTTTTATTACGTCTTATATTGATTTTTCCGTTCTGCTGGTTCGTCTGGTCAGAGGAGAACTGGCCCCCCGACTGAGCCTGGTTTCTCCCAAGGTTTTTTCTCCATTCTGTCACCGATGGAGTTTTGGTTCCTTGCCGCTGTCGCCTCTGGCTTGCTTAGTTGGGGACACTTCATTTCCAGCGATATCGTTGACATGATTGCAAAGATATTATTTAAACTGAGCTGGATGTTGACATCACTGAATTCAATGATGAACTGTCTTTAACTGAAAAATGAGTGTTTACTATTGTCATTTTGCATTATTGACACTATTTTCCTAATTAATGCTGTTCAGTTGCTTTGTCACAATCTGTATTGTTAAAAGCGCTACATAAATAAA